AGGTGTCTAACCTCACTTGACCTGACCTTGACCTGACCTCGACCTGAAATTCATCCAGATGTGGTCCATATCACTTATTGAGTGTGCCTATTGAATTCTATGAATAAAATGACCCATATAACATGTGTCGCCAATGCCCTTTTCTATATTTCGTTTTTGGTGACCTGACCTGACCTTGACCTTGACCTTTGCATGATATTGTATGCAACGAATATTGGCTTGGTAGCCTAAGAACACGTTTTGGGCAATCAGTCTCAGTCCATTCTTCGGCAATTACGGTGCAAGGCCGATACTGTAGACACTTGCATTTTGCACCCTTGACCTGACCTTGACCTGACCTCTGACCTACTTAAGTAACAAAAATTGGACTTTTAAGATCCGTTTTGTTGAAAGCTTTCGATTGCCGTTTTCCCCTTCTTTCTACGACCATCGGTTCGGAAGTTAGACAGGGGGGCAGAATCTGCCCCCCCCCCCAGCAGGGCGCGTATGGCTGAATAGCCCAGCGGGCGCGGGTTAACCCTTCTCAACTTGGAGCTGAATGAGCTAAATTAGGAAGATACGTATGTTTGGCAAGGGTGTGGGAGAATAATGGAAGTTTTAAAAGGGATGATGCAGGCATGCAAATCTTGCTACTGCCCAAATTAGCATCCGATTTTCAGCACACGTTAAAAAAGAATCTGGTGTGATCGAGATATGTACGAGTATTTCAAGCACACTACAGGTGCTGTGTCAGGTAGTTTCCACTTCCAGCGTGTTTGGCACATTCAATACGCTGGCTCATTATCCATTTTCCATCTGTTTGGGTTCCTCCACTCAGCTCATGTGCTCGTGTTCGCTGCGCCCTGCCGGGTCGCCGGCCCGGCTGTGGCCGCTCCGTGGTGCGACCTTGCCCTCTGGCCCGCTGTGCAGCAGCCTGAATAGTCTCTCGTCTTAGCTGAGCACTGAGATAGTGCACGGTATCGACGCGGAGCCGGCGGCAGGGCGGGGCGGGGTGGGCTGCAGTGAACAGGACCCTCCCCCCCCACTGCACAGTCCCCCCCCCCCACACACACACTGCACAGTGCCCACTACAATCTGCACAGTGACCCCCCCCCCACACACACACACTGTGCAGTACCCACTCCACAGGGCACAGTACCTACCTACTGATGTCAAATACAGATAATTGGGAAACCGATACCCAAACAAGTTGCAACCAAAACCATGGGAAAGTATAGGTACCGATTCCGAACCGATACCAACTTGGTGTTTGGTAACTATTTTAATCAAATTGTTTTTGAAAATTACTTTGTTGGCATTAGTCCGTTTTCACGACGGTTTAACTGGCGAGTGGTGAATGCACCAAACTAGACCAAATCTATCCAAATTCTTCTTCCAATGTACCTATAATCGAAAATACTCCCTGATAGTTTGATAGATCAGGTGTAGGTGTAAGCAGCTGGTTCAAACTAGGCAGACAAAAAAAAAACATGTATCCGATCAGTGGCGGGCCCAGAGGGGGGGGGGCAAAATGGGCATTTGCCCCCCAAACGGCATAATTTTAACATTACGCCTATGGACGATGCGTGGAAAGAATCGATAAATTGTTACGGTTTGCCCCCCCCCCCAAACTCTGAGCTGGATCCGCCTCTGTATCCGATTGACCTCTGTGGTAGCTATTCCTCCCCGCTGCACAAAGCACAGCACACCCCCCCCCCCCGACCCCCCCCCCCTGCACCTATAACCAGACTGCGGTCGAGTGGCTCCGGGGGGGGGAGGAGGGGGAGGAGAGGGGTCTATCGGGAGATGGGAGCCGATAGTGGCCGGCTACTGCATGACACGGTCTGACTCGGTGAGCCCCGCCCCCCCCCCCCTCCGGACCGGCCGGGGGCGGTCGGAGCCAATTCTAGGGCACACTGACTCCTATAGTGGGAGTGGCTGCAGCTTCCTCTACCTTCAGGCGATGTTCCGTTCAAAGGCGATGATGTCAGCTATACCACACCACATTCACTGGTTCATCGTTACAGCTTTCCGATATTTAGGCCTCGCCTTCTTATTAGTGCCACTGCCACGCAACATCAAGCCAACGCAATGGTCACTCTGATACGATGTAAATTCGTTCACCGTGCCATGAGCAAATTCGTTGGCTCTGATTCTATGTGAATTCACTCGCCACTCTACGAGCCAGCTGTCAGGGACGGTGAGCGCTATCTGCTTCATCAGCTCGGCAGGGCGTATGGACCGTCAGCATAGTGAACTGACGTGTGTTTATTCACATCCGATATCAGACAACACTAAAGCAAATATTCTAAATAGCCAGACGTTTCGGCCTCAGGGTGCCTTCGTCAGTAACAGTAGGTATTGATTACTATTGCATTAACCTTCCAGGCGGTGGGGGGGGGGGGGGGGTCCTTTTTTTGCCCCCCCCCTTTAGTTTTTTTTCAAATTATCTCCAGAACCGCTGCGCCGATCGTCACCAAACTTTCAGTACCCTCCCGGGAGTAGCTAGCGCACATGGTGACCAATTTTTTTCCAAAGGCTATGATAGGTTGGCCGCAAATGACGTCAGAGTGACGTCATTTCTGCCATTTTCAACCCAAACAAAAGGTTTCGCGGGAAGAGCTGTCAGGCCTATAGCTTTGAAGATACAGAAAAATGTTCAAGACATAAAAGGGGTAGAATCACTAGGGCGACTAAACTGCTTTCTTCAAATTTTGAGATTTTGAATTTTGACCTCGAAAAACCTTTTTTTAATTTAATAGCCAAAAATCCAAAACGTTTCCCGATTTCCGAAAAAAATCGGAATGTGTGTGAAAGCCCTTACCGACTTCTATTCACATACCAAATTTTAGATCGATATCTTATTTTTTGGCCAAGTTATTGCGAAAAAAACTGCTCAAAATTGATGACGTCAAATTTTCAAAATCAATTTTTAGCAATTTTAGACCACGTAGCGCAAAACAAAGACCATCATTAGACTCTCCGTGACAAGCTGCATCGAATCAATAACCATTTTATGCCAAGATATCAACTTTGAAATTTGACTTTTTTTGACCTGACATTGACCTGACCTGCACCAGAAAGTGACCGAAACCGTTCCTGATGGTCTTATAACAAACACCATTGAGTTGGAAATGAAAAATTGACCATAAAACATGCATCGCATAGCCCTAGTAAAATTGGGTTTATGTGGTGACCCTTGGTGACCTGACCTGTGACCTGACCTGGTATTATCAGTGACCTATAATAGCAATATATGTACTAGGCAACTGACGCCCAATCGCTGATTTTCGATAAAATGCGTTTACTCGATGCTATAGCGCATTCCCTAGAAGACCGGTGAACGGCCAAAGATTTTGTCTTTGACCTGACCTGTGACGTCATCGATGACCCCGAAGTCAATGAAATTGAATTTTCTTCAACGAATTTGACAGGGCTTTCGAACACCGTTTGAATTTTGCGGATCCGCCCAGTAGTTTCGGAGATACGGGGGGCAAAAAAATGCCCCCCCCCACCGCGCGGAAGGTGGCCGGGAGGCCCACCGCCTGCCGGGTTAATAAATTAGCCCGCGCCCAGCTGGGGGAGGGGGGGGGGGGTGTTTGAACACCCCACAGCGGTTTTTCGCGAATATCTCAAAATCGGGAGGGCGGAGCGCCGCCGTTTTTGGCACACCTTACCGTACATCTTTTCCGCACATGCTAGCAAAATTTCAGACCAAGGTCGCTCAAGGTCAGGTCACCAGGTCACGTCAAGTGACCTCACCTCCTAAAAAGTTTCAATGCCTGCCATATCTACACCGAGCGACCGATCGCTTTGAAACTTTCAGCGATTGATAAGAGAAACAATATGTACAAAATGTGTATCTCTGAATTTTGATGTGGGTGACCTAAGGTCATGTCAATTTTGCGACCTTTCCATTACCTAACTATAAGTCAATGGGAGAAAATTGAAAGGCGCCTCTTTTGGACGAACGTCATTCTAAACACTTTCAAACACCGAATCCCAAGTAAAAATGACACACTGAACCTGAAAATAGCACCCGTGACCCCTCTTTATGTCCCTAAGGCCATCTCAGGTCACGAAAGGTATCTAAAACAGTTTTCGCTAATAGCTTCTGATAGACGCGTGCTAGAGCGATGAAAACGCCTTAGATGTGTTTGGCTCGACGCTACGGATCGGCTGATATGCACCACGACCTTTTACGGTCAGGCCATGACCTTGGCCTGAGGTCAAATGTTCAAGTTGACCTTTCAAGGTCAAGATACAAGATGCAAGATACAAGTTGTGTATTATATCATCGATCCACTTGACACAGCGGCCGTGTGGCTTTTCACAATGACGCGTCGTGAAATAAAACATGTGCAATGAAGGGGGCAAGCATAAAACATAAAAAAGGGACGGCCGCACGCCAACTTTTCTCAGGATCAATTTTTGCCCGTTTTGCTCGCTAAAACACGTGCTTATTCCTGTTTGTTTATTAGGGCTTACGGGCGCGTCCACTGCGGTGGTCATTTTCACGTGCTTATTCCAAAAACATACTTGGAGCCAGAGTCCTTTTGAAAAAACGAAGTATAGTGATTATCTTTATAAACTTAAGTTTTTTTTTCTCGTAATTTCTTGCTTTATTGGTAGCAAGAGTACAATCATTTATCCGTCTGTAGTACCTAACCCTTTCACCCGGCCGTACCCAATCCTCTGTCCGGCCGTACCCAATCCTCTGTCCGGCCGTACCCAATCCTCTGTCCGGCCGTACCCAATCCTCTGACCAGCCGTACCCAATCCTCTGACCAGCCGTACTTGTGTCCGGCCGTACCCAATGCTGTGTCGGGCCGTACCTAAACCTGTGTCGGGCCGTAACTAGCCCTGTGTCCGGGAGTACGTAATCCGTTCGGCCGCCGTTTGACGTCACTGGGTGTATCTTATCTGCTGACGCCGGAGCGCCGACTATCCGCCTCTATCAGTGCCTATCGGCATCTATCTGCCCCCTGCCGCGGCGCGACGCCGCTCCGCCCGCCACCAGAGGCAGTTCGGCAGCCGAGGTGACCTGCACCGGGTCAGCGCAGCGCCGCGCGCCCATTGGCTGCTGGCAGTGACCACCGTGCGCCCATTGGCTGCCGTCCGGAGGGTAGGCTGTGCCGCAGTACAGCATTCGGCAGTGCCGACCGATCCGGGTGGGCTGGCTGACCGCGGCGACCGTAAAGCCCGGTCTGCTCGTGGGGAGGGAACAACAGGAGGCGACAGAGCAGACATAGCAGGGAGGAGTGTTCGGAGGAGCTGTGAGAGGACGCCGCGAGGAGCTGTGGGAGGAGTGACGGGCGGCCGCGCGATGGCCGGACTCGGCGCAGTCCTGCCCGGGCTGCTGCTGCTGGTCGGCGCACTATGTTCCCCGGCAGGTGAGCTGGACGATCCGCGATCCGTCCTATATGGTCCACGGTCCGCCCTATATGGTCCGCGGTCCGCCCTGTATGGTCCGCCCTATATGGTCCGTGGTCCGCCCTATATGGTCCGCGGTCCGCCCTATATGGTCCGTGGTCCGCCCCCGCGTATGGGCGCCATATAGCCTCGTTGCTGGTGCGCCCTAAAACACCAAATCATCATCATATGTGGTCCGCCGTATATGGTCCGCGGTCCGTCCTATATGGTCCGCGGTCCGCCCTACATGGTCCGCCATATATGGTCCGCGGTCCGCCGTATATGGTCCGCCCTATATGGTCCGCGGTCCGTCCTATATGGTCCACGGTCCGTCCTATATGGTCCGCGGTCCGCCCTATATGGTCCGCCGTATATGGTCCGCGGTCCGTCCTATATGGTCCGCCGTATATGGTCCGCGGTCCGTCCTATATGGTCCACCGTATATGGTCCGCTATCTGTCCAATATGGTCCGCAGTCCGTCCTATATGGTCCGCCGTATATGGTCCGCGGTCTGTCCTATATGGTCCGCGGTCTGTCCTATATGGTCCGCGGTCCGCCCTATATGGTCCGCCGTATATGGTCCGCGGTCCGTCTTATATGGTCCGCCGTATATGATCCGCGGTCCGTCCTATATGGTCCGCGGTCCGTCCTTTATGGTCCGCGGTCCGCCCTATATGGTCCGCCGTATATGGTCCGCGGTCCGCCGTATATGGTCCGCGATCCGTCCTATATGGTCCGCGGTCCGCCCTATATGGTCCGCCCTATATGGCCCGCGGTCCGCCCTATGTGGTCCGCGGTCCGTCGTATTCTCCCGGCAGGAGGGTAGGGCCGATGTTGTGATGGTAAGTCCGAGGAAGATGGGCTGGATGGGCTGCCGATCCGCACCATTATTAAGCTGACTCAGGGTCAGCGGCGCTCAGCTGACCTGGCTAGTCCGAGACCAGTCTGGTCAGTCTGATCAGTCCGACCAGTCTGATCAGTCTGTTCTGTGTGGTCTGTCTGATCAGTCTGATTAGTCTGGTCAGTGTGGTCAGTGTGGTCACTGTGGTCTGTATGGTTTGTGTAGTCTGTGTGGTCTGTCTGATCAGTCTGATCAGTCTGGTCAGTCTGGTCAGTGTAGTCTGTGTGGTCAGTCTGATCAGTACGGTCAGTCTGATCAGTCTGGTATGTGTGGTCAGTCTGATCTGTGTGGTCTGTCTCGTTTGTATGGTCAGTCTGGTCAGTGTGGGCAGTCTGGTCACTCTGATCAGTCAGTTCAGTCTGGTTAGTGTGGCCAGTCTGGTCAGTGTGGGCAGTCTGATCAGTCTGATCAGACTGGTCAGTGTGATCAGTGTGATTAGTCTGGTCAGTGTGGTCTTTGTGGTCAGTCTGATCAGTCTGGTCAGTGTGGTCAGTCTGTATGGTCAGTCTGGTCAGTTTGGTCAGTCTGATCAGTCTGATCAGTCTGGTCATTCTGGTCAGTCTGGTCTGTGTAGTCAGTGTGGTCAGTCTGGTCTGTGGGGTCTGTCTGGTCTGTGTGTGATCTGTGTGGTCTGTTAGGTCAGAGTGGTCAGTGTGATTTAACCCGCGCGGGGCTGGGGTCTCCAGCCGAACGCGCGGGGCTGGGGGGGGTAAATTTTACCCCCCCTGTTATCTCCCGAACTAATGGTCCGATTTGGAAAATTCAAACGCCAATCGAAAGCTCTCATCACGAACTACTAAAAACATGTACTTAATTTAAAGTTTGAGGTCAAGGTCAAGGTCAGGTCAAGGGTACAAATTGCAAGTTTCTACAGTATCGGCCTTGCACCGTAGTTGCCGAAGAATGGAGTCATGGACTGAGACTGATCGCCCAAAACGTGTTCTTAGGCTACCAAGACAATATTCGTTGCATACAATATCATTCAGAGGTCAAGGTCAAGGTCAGGTCAGGTCAGGTCAGGTCACCAAAAAACAAAATATAGAAAAGGGCATGTGCGACACATGTTTTATGGGTCATTTTACTCATAGAATTCCATAGGCACACTCAATAAGTGATATGGACCACCTCTGGATGAATTTCAGGTCGAGGTCAGGTCAAGGTCAGGTCAAGTGAGGTCAAATTTTGAAGTTGGTTGTTAAGGCCTAAAAAGGTGTCTATCTGATGCAGTTTTTCACGGCAAATCGAATGGTGCTATTTTTGTTTCCGTACGAGGTCTAGAACTTCCAAAAAAGTCATTTTTCAAAAAATTTGTGTGTTGTGACGTCATAAAATTTTGAATAACTCCCACATTTTTGAACCGATTCTTCTAAAATTTGGTATGTAGGTGCACATAGACCACTTCTCTGACATATATTCCGGTTTTTTCGATAGACTCAAAATTTTGGATTTTATAATGATTTTCCCAAAAAAATCATTTTTTTGAAAAAAAAATTAGGCAAAATCCAAAATTTTCAAAAAACCGAGATAACCATTTGATAGACAAAGTAAAATTACGTATAACCTTTTTTGTTACGTCTTGATTCCTTTAAAAATGAAGATGTTAGCGGCGTTTGAACTTTTGCCGTTTTTGAGGCGAAAATGGCGAACATGACGTCACTAAAACGTCAATTTCTCAAAAATTTTCCGACGGATTTCGCTCAAATTTTCAGGGAACGTGTCAAATTGATGTAAGAAAAGGTACTGGAAGTTTGGCGGCGCTGCGCGCCGCCGTTTTTGAGATATCGCCAAAATTCGCGAGGGGGGGTAAAATTTACCCCCCCAGCCCCGCGCGGGTTAAGGGGACTAAAGGCCATGGGGTCACTATAAAAGTTCGTTTTTTTCCAAAGGACGCTGGCTCCAAGCATTTTTTTCGAACAAGCACGTGTTTTAGCGAGCAAAACGGGCAAAAACTGAACCTGAGAAACTCGAACGTCGCCTTATTTTAACATGCGAATTATTCCCGATAAATTCCATGCCTGCGTTTTGGAACTAGACATGAGAACAGTGGTGACGTCATGCTGTGGAACTTGCATTGCAATGCAATGCATAACTATCATGAAAAGAATCGCTTACTCGATTCGGGCCTCGGTAAGAGCAAAAACCGAAGTTTTCCCAAAATTCGTTGGTAATGAATGCTTTCTTACGGACATTGGGTGCCAGCTGCCACCAGTGACGTCATCATATGCTCATTTTTGAAGTCACATTTTCCATGTATTTACAGAGCACAATTTGAAATCGATCATTTTTTTCTACAAGAAATTCCTAGCCAGACGCTGAAGCTGCTAAAACTGACGTGAAAGCTTCGAGAATGAACTTTGAGCCAACGTCCTTTTGAAGAAAAAAAAACGAACAATAGTGCAATTACTATTCAGTGTCATGCTTGCCTGATCGACATCCATATCATTCGGAACTTAACGAACTTAACACAATGTCATAATTCTCTATCTCGACAGGCGTTATCACAAGTGTATTCGCGGCCATTGGGGCGACGTAAGAAAAGAAGAAAACAACTGGCCCCAAGAACTTTAAATTATCAGTTAGCATGCACCTTTTCCTTGATCTGTAGAGAATTTACCATTAATTGCTAGAGAAAATTGCATTTAAAATCTTCCATCTATGCTTTTTTCATCGTTTGCACAACATCTTCTTTTACTAAGCTAGAAACACTGATTAGAAATAGTTCCTGCATCATCAAGAACAATAGGAAAGGCTTGAAGTGAATACAATAATCTAAACGGTTTTGTAATCTATGTGAAGACTTTTCTAAAATTGCGTGTAGAAATATTGAAGGCAAAAGTTCAACTTTTTCACAAGACGGATGTCTATAAACCTATTCAACGTGTGACAACTCAGCCGGTATTTCGTCGCCTACAGCCCAGCTTTCCCTAGTGACCGATAGAGGCGCTGCTATCGATGTCCGCCCGTGCCGCCTAACGTTTTCTGTAAGCAATTAAATCCGTTTGGTGACCGTTGATGACGTCACATGACCTTAGAGCTGTCTAATAGGAATTAATACATCAAGGTAGTCAAGGTTGGTAATAAATGACGTCATTTATGGTATAATTAGCCATTCCGACGAGTTTCAGTGAAAAATCAGGCAGTTGATTTTTCTCTTATTCACTTAGTGGGGGAGGACAAGAAATTGACCTGAGCTTAGGCATCGATATCGAATTTCAGTGACAAAAAAATTGTTTTTTTTTGTCACTGAACGTTTGGTTTCTTGAAGCGTGCAGACGTGTTTTGCTGTGCTCTAGAAAACTTGGATTTTAGCCGAATATAGCTTGTTTTCATTAATGTATTACATATTGGCATGTTCCTAATTTGACGTAGATGCTATGGAACATACTTTTGTGTCATATAAGTATAAGATGTGTCTTTATTCTTACATCTAAAAGTTGATTTTTCTAGTCTTTTGTTTAAAAAAAACTCAGTAAAAGTAGGGCAAAGTGCCCGTGATTTTTGCAGGAAGGCTCGTGCAGCTAAATAGAGTAGTTGTTCGTTTTCAAGATACCATTATCTGAATTATGAATTCACTGAATCGTATTCAGCGAAGATGCCGCGTAGAAAGAATTCTGTAAAAGGGAAAAACTCTCAAGATGGCCAAAAACAACATAATTCACTATCAGACAGCCAACCGCAGATCATCTCATCATTAGGAAATCCGTCAGTTGTTGTTTGCGAACAGTGCGGCATCAGAAACAGTAGAAAACATCACATTACGTGTGACTCATGCGGCAATCATTGGCATCTCACATGCGTTGGCCTGAAGCGGAGGGAGGCTGATTTTTTATCACGCTGGTGGTGCAAAAGATGTCTCGGCTTTGAGACTTCACTCAGCTCGCAGCCAGATCATTCCACCGCCAATGTTCTGCGCTCAACACCGGAGGCGGACATCCCATCAAGCGATGCTGGTGATCTGGCGTCCAGCTTAGCCAAGCTCAGACAAGATCGCCACGTTATTCGCCGCATCCCTAGAGGTGCTAGAATAGCTACAGCTGGTGCACTCACGACCCTACTCGAAGATACCGTACAGAATAACAC